CAGTTCAACTTTCAGGGAATCTGAATTTGATAGTTCCTCTTGGAATTTGTATGGCACATAAAATGATTCGCACTATTTTGCTAGCTAACTGTCAACTAAAAGCTTGTACAGACAAGCAATAATTTCCAGGAAATCAGTTGAGATCTGTAAGTGTTCTGAGCACACCCACAACACACGGACATGTAAGTTATGGGCTATAACAAAAGACTATATCAGGAATAAAAAAAGCAAAAGTACATCAGAATATCACAATACTCTTGGCTAGGTATAAAAATAAGGAAACTTATTTACATTTGATTTGAGGAAAAATAAGTGATAACTGGGGGATCATCATAATATCATATGTATGTCAAGTATTTCGTGTTTTTCACAACATTTAAATTCACAGATGCTGGTGCTGATCTTGTTTACATTTCTACGCACAGGAGCCACTTGGTGGTGCACATGCTGATCCTGCATGGACGTCGCAGCAAATTAAACATGCAATCACACAGGCTATGGAGGTAATTATGTCCGGTCTATATGAATTTTAATCTCTGAAATTGCGATATTTTTTTCCTAGCAGTCTTTCTCAATATGTGTCTCCGCATGCATACCTTCTTTGTTTAGAGGGGGTCATTCAAATTCAATATGGACTGGCCAAATTCGAATTCGATATATTTTTTTTCCTAGTAATCTTTCTTGTCACTGAAGGAAACTCTGGAATCTGCACAGGAGCTGGCAAAAATGGATGCAAATGAGGTGCAACGCCATCGAATGCTCAAGTTCCGGTCAATTGGAAAATTCCAAGAAGGCATAGTTGTGGAACCAGAGATTAAGCGAAACATGAAACCACCTGATGTGAACACTTCTGGGATCACTGATATTGAGTCCGAGCTTCAAAATCTCAAGAAGACAATTTTTGAAACTAAGGGACCATCTGATCCTATTAGGGAAGAAGCAATAGGGAAGATCGAGCAAGAAGTTGACCAAGAGATAACAAATGCGCTTTCTGCGGTGGGATTAGAAGAGAAGATTGAGTCTGTGAGGCTGGAATTATCCAAAGTCTCAAGTCGCTCACCAAATCAACCCCTTGATCGTAACCTGAAGGAAAAATTGGATACGATCATGCAAGAATTTAACAACAAATTGTCACGGCCAGGTGCCTATATGGGATTGAAGCAGAAACTTCAGAAGCTAGAAGTTGTGAAGAGGATGATTGAGATGAAAGCCAAACAAGAGAAACTTAAAGCAGAGATCAATCAGAAAGTTTCAGGTGATATTAAAGCAAAGATAGCAAACTTGAAGACTGCTCAAGAAAAGCGATCAAATGGAAATTCACCGGATAAAGAATTGGTAATAGAAGCAGAGAAAGCCAAGAAAGAGCTAGAAGAGGTCTTGAGATCAGCTAATTTGGAGGTTGTTAAAGTAGTCAAGAGAAGAGAAACCAACCCCACGCCGGACATAAAACAGAAAATAATGGAGGTGAACAATGAAATCTTCAGTGAAATTGACAAGGCTGTTAATTCAAAAGGCCTTAAAGAAAAAGTTAAAGAATTGGAAGATGAGCTGGCCAAAGGATCAAGCCCTAAGGATGTGGAAAATGTTGCAGCAGGCATCAAAGAGAGTATTCTTTCTTCCTTGAATGTCACAGCACTGAAAGAAAAGATTGATAGGCTGAAAATGGAAGTGAAATCCACTTCAGAAGTTTCTGAGAGCAAGGTCGGTGTGGAAAATGGCAGACACTAAATGTTGAGGTTACTTCATGTGAGTGATTAATGATGATAATTGTTGAAATTATATTGTTTATTTTTGATATCACAACTCTAGTTAGGAATTCGCTAAGGGCATTGTTATGATGAACTCTTTCTTTCTTTCTTTTTTTTTTAAACCACAAGAGCCAGTTTTATGTTTATTCTAGTGATTATTCTAAATAATTCATTAACAACAAAGACTGATTATGACCAATTTGTAAGATAAATTGAATTGAAATCTATTGAATATCAAATTCTAGGTAAAAAGGCTCAAAAACCTTATGATCCCGATATCATCTTTCATTGAACTAACATTTTAGATTGTGTAGGTAGAAAAATACAAAAAGGAAAAAAATAAAGAAAATTTTGTGTTCATTGTGTTTTCACCTAAATAGGGACCACAATTAAAAATTAAAGTTGAAGCGCAATTTAAAATTGACTTATAATTTTATTCATACGGCTCACATAACTCGGGTTAAAACTTAAAATGAGTCGGGAACTGATTCAACCCGATCCATCTCGTTTCTGATCCGCCTGGGCTAAAACGTCGGAGGGACGAAGGCAGGCTGTTGGCGAAAGCAAAAATGGCGAGCGGGAGCTTGAAGAGCATTCTGGCGGCGGCCGTAACACAGGGAGTGACTGAGGCGCGAGCAAGGATATTCGGACATGTGCTCAATCCCACAGGCAAGAGATCTGCACATAAGCTTCTGCGGAAGAAGCTTATCGGTGAAAAAGTGGCGCAGTGGTACCCTTATGACATTCAGCGAGACGACCCTCTCGTCATGGCCCAGCAAGAGCAAGAGTAACTTCTCTCTTTCCCTGCTCTCTCACTCGAACGACATGAAACCAAGCACAGTGAATGCTGCATGTCTGCCATGTGTTTGTTTGTTTGTCTCTGTGGTATTTTGGATTGTGGGTTATGTTTTGACTATCAATTTGTGCAGAAGTAGGTTCTGGGTCTTCTTCATTCTGTTTTTCTTTTGGGAAAATTAACAATTTGGTCATCGACCACACTTGGAAAATAACATACTTTGCGTTAATTATCTTTTTCAAGCAATTTCAGATGTTGGCAAGATTAAATCATATATTTTCTAATTTTTTTGAGAATGACTCGTCAGGCTCTTATTCATTTCCTATACTCTGAACTTATGTTCTTACTCATTTCTAAGGCTAATCTTGGAGTTCCCATCCCTAGTAATACTATTTGACCCAGTTGACTCCGGCTTTCTTATGATGCCGTTGCACACATTTGATCCCATAGAATCAGTCTGTTTGTCTAAATTCAAAGCTTTTGGAAAACTACACACAGTTCTAGAGCTTTATAAATATGCTGGTAAATGACTTGTTAAATTTTAAATATCACTTGTTTCTTATAAATAAGGTCGGATAGCACCTATCTTTAGGCAGCAATTCTTGGTCTCATGGCAGAATGTTATATTTTGGCTCTTTGCCCGTTATCTGGACAATCTGCTTACTATTTTTTGTTACCTAGCAGTTTATTTTTATTGATTAACAAGCTTTACGGCATATCTAACATGAAATTAAACGTGCATTAAGCTGCGTGATGGTCTCTGCATGTTAAGGAATATGGGTTATTCTTTTCAGGAATTTGAATTGCTTCACTGCACTTCAATATCCAAATAAAACTCTGAACAGCAATCAAACATCAAAACATCGATCTTATCTACTATGGATTTTTTTAACAATCTGTCAGGAAAATAAGATCTTTTGGGTTGTTGCTCCACCGTCTGAATGATCTGTTTGCCATTGGTGTCCACTCCATGCCTCTGAGTTTTGTTCCTTTTTTGTTGATTCCTTTGTGTGATTTCATTCTTTTCGAAAACAAAAGCTAGACCTAGGCGAATGAAATATAGTTTCATTTTGGTGTTTCCCCAGCGGGATTTCATTCTGTATTGATTGGGTATTTTTGCTTACTTTTTTACCTATAAGTCGGTGCCTATTTCTCAACATAAAAACTTCTACAATATCTGCTCTATGTTTAAGAGAACAAGTTGGTCAGTGGTTAACATTGGTTATCTAAATGATGTTGTGTTTTTATCGAAACCCTTCTGGCTTTTACTAATTGTGTGGATAGTAATGTGATTTTTTATGCTTATTATCTTCCTACAGGCGCTTATCAAGACTGGAAATGTTGAAGCGGCGAGGAAAAGGACCCCCCAAGAAAGGCCAAGGAAGACGTGCTGCCAAACGCAACAAATAAAGATGCTACTTTTTGGTGTTTTTGGAGGGTAGAAACCCTTGCCAGTTTTCCCTGTATTATCGTCATGAATTTGATGCATGTAATTAGCATCTTAATCTCATTCCCTAAATTTAGTGCACTGGGAAGTTTATACTGTTTGCCTGGATTCAAAAGGCTTGACCATTCTGTTATGATGATTGAGCATAGGAAGAGAAGGGCGTTGTGGACCTGGAAAAAAAAGCTTGATATGCATTATGGCCTTGTCTCTGCTGTTTTTTCCCCTCCTTTTATTATGGTTTGGAGTTCACCTTTTTCGCTAGATAGTTTTAAGGGTATACTTTCTTTTATGATCTGAGTATTTAGTATATTACTTTGCTTTTCAAAAGTATCACATACAAATTGATAAAAGAAAACACCAACACGTTTTCTTTTCTTCCTAATTCCTATTAACCCCGTCGAATCATGTTTTGTGGTATTTCATCCTTTTTCTGGTCTTGGGCAAATGAGAACGTGTGGGGAGAGACCTTAACCAACATCTCACATCCAGAAGTTGAACGGCCTCTACTCCTCCATGCCTGATTCTTTATGGAGCAAGAGACAAACTGAAGAGAAAAGAATATATGACGAGAGAAGAATATTAATTTACGTGTGGTGAAAGAGAGCCCAAAGAGTCACTTGAAGGGTTGGGAGTTCCATATTTTTGCATAATAATTAATCAATTTTTTTATAACTACTGACTTTATTGAATGTAATTTTGAGGTTTTATAAAAGAATGATTAATTTTAATCAATTATCGCAACTAATATAAAGTAATTCATTAGAGCTTATAAAAAGAATCTGAAGAATATTAATTTAACAATAATTAAAAAAAAAACAGCCGTATGGTGACGGCATGCAAGTTGTAGAAGCATATTTAAGATTTAAAATGTTAATTTATATCATTTTCGTTAATTAACAGTATCTATTTAAGTATATATTTGTCCATAATATATAAAGTCGGTCTATGATGGCCCGAAAAGCGGGTTTAAAAGAAGTGCGATGCTTTGTGCATTATTAGCCAAGAAGCGGGGCCATTCACCCAACTGAACAAATCTTCTTTTTGACGCCCTAGGAACTTGGAAGGAGGTCTCGCCATTCCTGCTGCTACGACAACGTCGCAATCAATCCCAAGAAACACCAAGCAAGCAAGAGAAATCAAGAAATCATTTTCCTCTTGTTCGATTTCTGGTTTTTCGTCAATTTTTCTGAGCAGAATATAGATTACGGCCAACCCTCTCTTCATATTGCACTATTTTTGCGTAGATCTGTACAAATCCCTAACGATTTTTGCCGTCACTTTATTCCTGCCATCACAGTAGAAACCCTCTCTATTTTTGGGTCCTTTAGCTCTGTATTATACTCAGAAATTTTAGATTTTGGCAGATTTAGGTTTAAACGCAAGCCATTCTAGAAGCATTTGTGGGCGTGGTTCCACTTTGCAAGAAACCCTAAATTTGTAGTTTGTAGCATCTTTGACATTTTGTACATTTTTTCTTAGAAATTTCGGTGGGTTTTTTTCTTTTGAATCGGCGGAATGAACAATAGAGCTAGGTATCCACCTGGGATTGGCGTAGGTCGGGGGGGAGGCATGAACTCGAACCCTGCGTTTCAACCGCGACCCCCTCAGCAACAGTATGTGCAAAGGCACTTAGTGCAGAACCAACAGCAGTATCCGCATCAGTATCAACAGTACCAACAGCAACATCAGCAGTTACAACAGCAGCAGCAGCAGCAACAACAACAATGGCTTAGAAGAACGCAATTGATTGGTGCTGATTCTAACGTAGTTGACGAGGTCGAGAAGACTGTGCAGTCTGAAGCCGTTGATTCGAGGTGCAGTTCTTGAAATTTTATGTCTTAGACATGCTCCTTATCATGGAAGTGCAATGTGCTAAGATTGAATGTGTTGGAGGTGTATAGGATTTTGAAACTTTGGGGTTAGAAAAGAATGTACTTGGCACGACACCTTTTCCGTATTGGTAATTAGATGTGTGTGATTGACTTTCTGCCTAAGAATATCAAATAAACAAACAGCAACATCTTCGTATTTAGAGACTTTTTTTTTTCTTTCTCTTGTTTGGTGTTTGTTTGACTAGATAGGTTGAGAAATTTTGGACTGTTAACATCGTTTTAATGATCAATACAACGATTTGTCTAATTTCTTTCTCTTTTTGTTCAAGAAGCGACTCTAGGGCTTTCTGTTTTCTTCTATCTGATTGCCTGCAAGGTATTTAAAGTTGGGATTGTTCTAAATGATCATAATTTTGCTAACTTATGGAACAAGTAGAAGTGCTTCATTAATTCTCAGTTCTCTCTTTTTCCTCCTTCTTTCCGTTCACCAAGGTTCTGATTTGCATATTTTAAATTATGTCCGATTACTAAATGGAACCTTCTCTACGCATGCAAATCTGTTGCACCTTAATACTCAAATTCACGGTGGAGCTCTTATTCCCTTAACGCAGGCTTAATGCCAGTTGCGATTTTTTCAGGCATGGGATTAATATATGCTCAATTATGATTTTTTGAGTTTGTCAAAGATTTTGGAACTGGCGCCATGTAAACCTGTTTACTTGACAGCTGTGGCATGCATTTTCATGGCAGCAGCATACTTCACTGCTGAACATAACTAATTTTTAGGTTTTAAACAAATAATTGAAGGTGTCCTAATATTATCCTCCTTCGTTTTATGTTGTTAGTTCTCAAGATTGGAAGGCAAGATTGAAGATACCACCACCTGATACTCGCTATAGGACTGAGGTATGCTTTTGATTAATATTATCTTATGCGTTGATTGATTGATTATCCGCACTGATTTTACCCTCACATTTTGCATGACGTTCACATGATGTTTTTCCGTTTATTTGAAAAGCCTAATAAATTGTACCTGTCTTATTGTTTCCTAGGATGTGACAGCAACTAAAGGAAATGAATTTGAAGATTACTTTTTGAAGCGTGAGCTGCTTATGGGAATATATGAGAAGGGTTTTGAAAGGCCTTCTCCTATCCAGGAAGAAAGTATCCCAATTGCTCTTACTGGTAGTGACATTCTCGCTAGAGCAAAAAATGGAACTGGAAAAACAGCTGCCTTTTGCGTTCCGGCACTAGAAAAAATTGATCAGGATAACAATGTTATTCAAGGTTTGTCCTGCTAGAAGCTTTATTTCTTGGAAACTAGTGGAGCCTGTTACGATATAAGCTCAGCATGAAAGGACATGGAATTGTTTTTTATCTTTTAGCCTTGGAAGGCTCTGCATTGAGAAGAATTTGTTGAGAAATATATATTATTTTGTCCATGCATTTTAAATTCTTTCAAAATTATTTTAGTTGTTAAGTTTTTATTTACTGCTCTTGCATCCTTGTAATTATTAGACTGGAAAGATAAATGTAGAGACAGAATTTGCTTTTCAAGTTGATTGGAAATGGTCATGGCAGATGGCTGGTGCCATTGTTGATGGTGTCCAAATTATTTTTAATGAGATAGTCACCACTCATGCTGACTATTTTTGCTTATATCTATTATGTAGTTGTTATACTGGTCCCAACACGTGAATTGGCTTTGCAAACGTCACAAGTGTGTAAAGAGCTCGGAAAGCATCTGAGTATTCAAGTCATGGTTACGACGGGTGGTACCAGCCTGAAAGATGATATCATGCGTTTATATCAACCCGTTCATTTACTTGTTGGAACTCCAGGAAGAATATTAGATCTTGCAAAGAAGGGTGTCTGCGTTTTGAAAGACTGTAATATGCTTGTTATGGATGAGGTAAATAACTTTTACAAATGTATATAGAATCCAGTTAGGGGATGGGGAGGTTCAAGAACTGTTTTGAAGAGACAGAATTTGAGGTTATTCAAAAATTACGGTTTGATGCCCGATTAGTTATCTTTCTTATTTTGTTAAATCTGTTAGGATTGGGAGTCTGTTGTTATACTTCCAAGTTGGTAATGCCCCCTTGGTTACAAAATAATCGTCATTCTGGAGGTTTGGTTTTGTTTCAAAATAATTGTTGCTTTAGGTTTTTCAAGAAAGCTTTTTTTTTTTGGGGGGGACAATTTCACCCTTCAACAAATGAGAAGTTCATTAGGGCATTATAATAAGTAAGGTTATTGTAATAAAATACTATTATATATATTTTTTAAAATCTAGTTTACTTATCAGCCTTTTTAATGGGTGCGCACAACGGAGGGTGTATGCATTATGTATTTCCAATTTATATTGTAAATGTTGAGCGCATCATTCTTCTGCCCTTCACTTGTGCTCTTTATGTGGCTTTCCAAACATTAGTCATCTAACTATTATAATTGTTTATCAATATGAGGATCTTAAAATTTTTTTGTCTTTCAGGCTGATAAACTTTTGTCACCAGAGTTCCAACCTTCAATAGAGCAATTGATTCATTTCATGCCTCCGAACCGTCAAATCCTGATGTTTTCAGCTACTTTTCCTGTTACTGTTAAGGACTTCAAAGATAGATATCTTCAGAAACCTTATATCATTAACCTTATGGATGAGTTAACTCTGAAAGGTATTACACAATTTTATGCATTTGTGGAAGAGAGACAGAAAGTCCACTGCCTCAATACACTTTTCTCTAAGGTTTGATCTATCTTTATCCTTTTTTTTCCCGCTAAACTTATCTTAGCCAGAGATAAATATTGTAATGGCTTGTTCATTTCAGCTGCAAATAAATCAGTCAATTATCTTCTGCAATTCGGTGAATCGGGTTGAGCTCCTTGCCAAGAAAATCACAGAACTTGGCTATTCATGCTTCTATATCCATGCAAAGATGTTGCAAGATCATCGAAACAGAGTGTTCCATGACTTCCGCAATGGTGCTTGTAGAAATCTTGTTTGTACGGGTATGTTTCTAGTACTTTTGCACTTACCTGTCCCTCATTGTTTATATCTGAAGAACTATGATCAGAGAATTTTATAGAATTTCTATTCTCGTTGAATGCATGTTTCTGGTAATTGCAAGTGGGCTGGCGGTCTCTATTTATAGGCCTGTGGAAGAAGCAAGCTTACTCAAATGTCCCCTGTACAAAGTAGAATGCACAATAATACCTCTAATTGTTAAACTTATTTACAGTAAATCAAAGTCAAAAAAGTCCACAATGTCTTTAAGTCTGTGTGCTAGTGGTGGTTCTTATTTCCCCAAATTGCTATTTCATTTATGTAATTGTGGCTGATGACCACTTTTCTTTATCTTTTAAATTCTTTAATTATTTTAATTTGTTTATTTACAGGATTTAACTGTGTAATCTATACTAGTATAACCCATATTTGTTCTGTGAAATTAATTGGTAATGTTCGGATGATGAGACAAGTGATGGTATTTGTTATAAATTTGTTGAATCCGTCTGATTGTATAGAGCATGTCTAGAATTAGCATATGCTAAACTGGCTGTTTGTTTTGACTTCTATTTTTCTAATTTATCATTGTTTCCTCTTTATTGGAAAACAAATGCAGATCTTTTTACCAGGGGAATAGACATTCAAGCAGTTAATGTGGTCATTAATTTTGATTTTCCCAAGAATTCAGAAACTTATCTGCACAGGGTATGTTAGAGCCTTCTTAGTCTTCTTTTAATTTGTTTATCTTAGTAGCAATTTTCTGTATGTTTTGTAGTCTCATTTGTGTTCTGCCTATCCACAGGTTGGTCGTTCAGGGAGGTTTGGGCATCTTGGTCTAGCAGTTAACTTGATCACCTATGAGGATCGCTTTAATTTGTATGTAATATACATTTAGACTTGAATTTAAACGTATTTGCTATAGATATTGATTTTTTTTCCTTATCAATTTTGTTCAGATATAGGATTGAGCAAGAACTTGGCACTGAAATAAAGCAAATTCCACCACACATTGATCAGGCAATTTATTGCCGGTGACTTGGATAATTATCAGGGTTGTGTTCCCAACTGTGGTGAATAGCAATGGTAAGTGGTAGGTTCTGGGAAAAATTGTGTTGTGTTTATAGTTGGCACTCTGATGGCTGACAATCATTGTTGTGGAGAAGTGCAAATACATTTGTAAAAATATGTTTTGAAAATACAGAAGTTGGTTTCATAATATATATTCTCATGTTTAGACAATGGCTTAATCAATTAAATCCCTTTTAGGAAAAGCGTAAATTGATGGTAATAGCTCAGCGTAATCTTTTAAAAAATCACCAACCAATCAAAATGAAATGGTTTTGTACATTATTGATGATTAATATTGCATGGTTTTTACCAAATCCCTCCCTCTTCATGAAGCGAGGTTTCTGGCTCTAGTCCGCATGGTTATGAGTGGTGTGTTTAAATGTTGTCCATAGTTTAAAAAGAAAAAAAAAGCTTGAATGGTTTTGATTGGTTTTCTATTGAATATGCTTTATACAAGGACACGTGATGACTTATTATTAATCTTTTTTCCTTTAAGAGGATGGTCATGTCAAGGGTTGTATTTTCAAATCTGAGACCATTTCCGTACATTATTTTATGCCCGGATGCTTTCACTGTTTTAGAATGTTTGACTTGCTGTGATGCTTAATTTATTACATCTAATACAGTGAGTGTACTTATAGTTTGTAACGTGTGTGTATGGATTATTCCTGTGTCTCAGGTTGATGTGAGTGGCCATTCAAGCGGGCGGGTATGTGGCTCTGAATCTGGAAGATGGAACAATGTGCAATGATCATTGGGGTATTGTTGGACCCCTTGCTGAATGCTTTTTCGTTACTTTGTGGTTAAGAGCCCTGAAAAATTTCTAGGACCTATATATGTCGGGCCAAGTTTGGAATTTCTATGGTTACATTTGCAAGTGTTTGTTTTCGACTGTCGCTGTAGTTTCTTTTGTACGATCCTCTACGCCTTATGTATTGACCCTTCGTTATCATGCTATTTGTTAGATTGTAGACTGCTAGTGATACATCATGTTAGCCTTGGCATCTTCCTGCTTATGTTGGGCCTTGGCAGTGATCATGTGCTTGATGTGATCGTTGCCACACTTGAATGGGCTTTGCAATCTTAGTTGCATCGTGCATGGTGTTGAGAGGACAATTGTTGCAGAAATTGTATGCTAATGGTGCTAGCAACTTTTTATGTTAATGTATTGTGACATTCGTCATGTGGCTTTGCTTAGCTTGCCTCGCAGAATTCCTTTTGGACGCCATACAAGCAGTTATGGGTGATTCCTACACTGGTGGAGTGCTTGTGATGATAACTTGCCGTTACTTATCAATTAGTGTGTTAAAAAAATTAAAATTATTAAGTTACATAATATGGAATTGAAATACTCAAACGAAAATTTTTGTGCTTACATTCTATTCGCGCCGGATAAATTATGGGAAATATTTTAATTTTCTATAATTAATATAATTGCTGTAACTGTTGTTTGAGGGCAGGGAATGTTAGCTTTGGGGTATGACGCAAGATGGTGGCAGTAACGCTAGTGATACTTTCTTTCATTATTATATCAGCTTACCTTCGGAGCGTCATTGACGCAAATCATAAAATTGCTGTTGTCAAGCTTGCAATGGCTCACGATGATATCAATTTGTAATTGTTTTTCTATTTTTTTTAAAGTATGTTTTTAATTTTTAAGGCAAATTATTTTCAGATACTAATATATCAAGTTTTTTCTTTCAAAATAATTATGATTGTTATGAAAAGTTGTTATTAACGACTAACGTTTTTTGAGTTAAGTGACTAACAACTAAATAAATATATTTTTTTTATATATTACAATTCATTGTTTATATTTTTTTTTGTGTAAAAAAATTTAGGTCAGTGCATTATTTACATTTATTAATTATTAATTACCATCATTTTTCATTCAATCCACAAGTTATTGCACGCTTTTGCCAACAAGAGAAACGAGAATTTTTCCTTTTTTCCGCCAAGAAAACGAGTAAAAGTTTACTCATTCCGTTCAGGCCGCGTCCAGTCGTAACTGAGGGCGGTCTTAACACTTCCAAAAGCAGCGTTCATGGCCTCGCCGGTCTCACCTTCAGATGAAAAGGGTTGGGCGCAGAGAGTATCGGATACAGTTTTTGCTTTGTACAACTCTCTTCCCAAGAAAGGCAAACCTCAAGGGCGCGAAGTCACTGTCTTGGCTGCTTTCCTTCTTTCTTCTCCTTCCAATGGTTCACTCACTGTCTTCTTTGCTCTCTGAATCTCTCTCTCTCTCTCTCTAAGTCTGTTTGGCATATACAAGCTAGAAATTTGGATTTCTGTCCTGTACATTTCCCTTGCTCTATTGGAAGCTGTATATACGTACATATATATTGAGCAAAGGAAATCATTAGTTCATTTCGGGTTTCAGATTTGGAGGTTGTTTCTCTCGGGAACAGGAACGAAGTGTATTGGACGCTCACTTTTGCGCCCTTATGGTGATGTTGTCAATGATTCTCATGCTGAAATTATATCACGAAGAGCTTTGTTAAGGTATTTTCTTTACTTTAAGACTGTATATGGAGTTGGGCACTCTAATTTGAATATCTATTTGGAAAATTCATTTTTTTTAAAAAAAAAATTTGTATGGCTGATACGAACCACATTTCTGATACTGGAAAATATTTACTGTGATTTTTGGACATTTTACCATTTGGGGTGTTCAAAGGCTTTTGTAAGGAAAGCAAGTCCTCCTTTTTGTCATGTGAAGGATATTTGTTCATTCTTTTCTATTCACACCAGGTTCTTCTATACACAGATTCAACATCTTACTGAAACTGGTAATAAGCATATACCTGGCAATGGATGCAAACGGTTCAAAGTTGAGGATGATATCATACCATTTGAGTTGGCCCCAGTGTATCCTGATACGGCAAGCTATGCCTTGAAAGAGGGTTGGAAATTACATATGTACATATCGCAGCTACCATGTAATTTAAGTCTTTGATGGTTAAAATCCTGCCGTCATTGTTATATGTGGATTTGGTTTACGCTAATTCCTTATTTGGGCGCTTTTTGTAGGCGGGGATGCTTCACTCAGATCTCTGGTCTTACCTTCAGATGGTGTTTCTCTAGGAGAAAGTAATTCATCATCGTGTCTGGGTAAGCCAAAAAATCCACGGGTTTTGTTCATATAATATCCAGTAATTTGATTAGATGCATCGCTTAGATAACTTTCTCACAGCCCTTTTTACCTTTTATATTTCTACCATAACTAGATTTCTTTGTTAAATATAATTTCACATATATTTCAATCACTTCTCTTTTGTCCCTAAACATTTGTTTGAGGATCGTGGGTTTATTATAGATGAAATGATTGACTACTTGTTTGTGATTTTGGTGTTTACCATTGGGTCAAAGATATGATATCTTTGTTAGACTGAACAACTATCACTAAGTGACACGCGCTCACGCACACATCAGGGCACAATTCCTTTTTCATTATGACGTCCCTGCACTAGGGCCTCTGTCATGGGATATGGCTATGACACCTCAGCCGACCATCACTCACTCAGCAATTCCCCAGTGGGAATCAAACACTTACCTTAACTCTGATATTGATTGTTAGATTAAGTGCTTAACACTAGATTTATAAATGCACCTAGACAAGAACCATGTCTTGACTATGATCCAGCTCCATCTCAAGTCTCTGCCATAGGGCAGTTGTTGTGGCACTTGCCCAAAAATCTCTAGAATGCTATGTCTGCATTAACTTGTCATTTTGTGGTTTTGTTGGAGATCATTATACAATTTACTTGTAGTTTTGCCAATTGAGAAAGCTGCCCCCCCTCCCCCCCTTCTCTCCTCCCAGCAATAAGGGTCAAACAATCCATTTGTAATATAGCAAAGGCCATGGGCAGAAAGTTTAGTTGGATCTCATCTTTGCTAGACGAGTACTCTAAGTGCTGAGAATTTCTTGATTGATTAGGCGTTTATGTGCCTACCCTGCCTTTCAATCTTTATACATTTCTCTTTGGTGATTTTCTTATCAAAATTATTTCATTCTATGTTCACCATATTGTATATCTTTTTAATGGCATATCAGATGGAATTTTTTTCAAAAGTTGTCTGGCGTTCATTTCTTATAGTCTTAGGAGAATTATTTTGTTTCCATCTCCAGATAATGGTCCAAAACAAATAGGAAAAGTTCAGAGGAAGCCAGGCCGAGGTGATACAACTCTGTCAGTTAGTTGCTCTGACAAGATAGCCCGATGGAATTTGGTTGGTGTTCAAGGTCAGAAGTACTTAAAGTGGGGCAACTATTACTTCATTCCTTAAAGTTGGAGTTTCATGATTACATATAACTGAGATTGAAAACTCCTGTAATGATTTTAAAATTTTTATAGATAATGTTGAACTAGTTTCATGCAGATGTTTCTGCAGCATATCTTTTGCACAAAACCTTTGGTTATATGATTTCCTGTTGCATGTTGATTTATTCTTCCACAAAGCTGATACATTTTGTAACAGTAATGCTTAGATGTTTATAATCAAATTATTGGCGCAAAGGTGAGGACCAAGTTAGGTCAGTTACCTACACATCAAATTGTAACATGTTGGTCTGAGATTGTTTAATTCTGATTTCGCATAATTAACGATGTCATTCCTAATCTATTCCCATTCTTCATCCATGCGTAGATGAATATCGGTGACTTTGTTGGAACATTGTGATAGTAAGCACTAGTGATGGTTTGACTGGTGTAACTGTTTCTCTTATTTCAGGGGCTTTGCTTTCCTACTTTCTCCAACCAGTTTATATATCCTCTATTACTGTTGGATTGCCCCCTAACAGTTCTGAAAATCTTCATATTGAGGATAACTTGAGAGGCGCATTGTATGATCGCATCCTACCCTTCTCAAATGAGTTAAAAAGTCCATTTCGGGTGAACCAGGTTCGTAGAATATCTAGTTTCACGTGATTATTAAAATGGGTGAAACTGTGGCTAGACATATTTTTCATTTTGTAGCCATTATTTCTGGCTGCTTCAGCACCACCCAAGGACATTCAACATGTGAGAATGCTGCTAACACTCTAACATGCGGGTACGTGGCATCAAATGCTGGCAAATTCCCAGTGCTCATTTAATTTTTATGGTTTGATGTTGTAGTATATCTGAATGCTCAAATTTGCAGCTATTCTATTTGTTGGAATAAATGTGGCTTGCATGAAGTCATCCTGGGAACCACAGGAAGAAAACAGGGCACCTCTGCTAAAGGGGCACTTTACCCATCCACGGAATCATCATTATGCAAGTAAGCTTACCAGTACCTCCCTTAAAAGTTTTACCTGTTGGGCCCTAATTATGGTAGTGTATCGTCTCAGAAAGAGGCTGTCGGAGTTTTTCTTGTCACTGAGACCTGAGCGTTTGAATCTCTGGCTGATGGAGTTACTTATCAAGAACTTAAGGTCCTGATTAGTTCTTAAATTTTCTATTAGTTCTTAAATTTTCTAGACACTGTCTGTTACTAGTGAGAAGATGGATCATCATTTGTAACCTCCTAATCTGTTCTCTCTGATCAATCCTTTGCAGGATGGGGCAGAAGAATACCGATTATCTTGTAAAGTTCTTAAAGGGAAACCTCCTTTTAGCGAGTGGCTCTTGAAACCATTGGATTGCCAGGCATTTCCTATCTTGAAATAGCTGAGATCCTGAGATTATTGACTATGTAAGCCTATATCGGTTGTATTTGTGAGTGATTGATTGTTAGACGTTATATACGTTTGTTCACATTTAGTTGACATGTTTGGTAGCGGCTAGAAATTTACCGGCAATCCTCGGGAACTGAATTTCCCGTGGACATGAGAGCAAAAATCTTCGCCGAGAAAGGGGCTTAGGCTCAGGCCAATTGTCCTTGAAAATGAAAACGACATTTTGTTTTAATATGTTGAGAATTTTTTTTATAGAAAATATAATTATTTTATTTACTATTTTAAGAAGCTTTACTAAATTATTTTATTTTATCTTAGAAGTTTTTAATTAAAAATTGAAAATAATTAAATTAAATTTTTTATTTTCCTTACCTTGATGTTTCAATCATACTAAATATAAATTTTTCCATCAAATTATTTTCTTTTTCAATTGTATATACTACTTAGATCCTTAATGTAAGATTTAATTTCTAGTTCAAGAATTATAAATTGGATTTTATATTATAGGCCGGAGGTAATAACATTTTTTCTTTCCACT